AGATAGAGCTAGATATATATATATATATATATATATATATATATATATATATATATATATATATATATATATATATATATATATATATATATATATATATATATAGGCTTTTGAGATCATTCACCGGGTGAAATACACACACACACACCCACAATAGAGTGTGTAGATCTACGGTGTATATCTATATATATATATATATATATATATATATATATATATATATATATATATATATATATATATATATATATATATATATATATATATATATATATATATATATATATATATATTCGTATACAGTCTTTCTCGATAGTATAGTAGGATCCGGAGAAAGGGTTTTCATGTTTAGGAATTTTCGCTTCGTCTGCTACAACAGATTCTGAAGATTCTTTCTAACTATAAAGCAACCGGTGAGTTCAACTCGCTCGAGTTGCACCGTTTTGTTGAGGCTTTGAAATACGCGCTTGCAATGAAGACGAGTCTTGGAGACCCTCAATTTGCGAACGTCACTAACATCTTGGAAAAAATGATCTCGACAAGCTACGCAAAAGTGTTGAAGAGTCGGATAAACGATACGAAAACATACGATCCCGCGCATTACGGTAGCAAGTATGCTTTGCTTTTTTTTGAGCTTTTGTTCGTTTCTTCCGTATTTTGTTTTCATTCGTACAATTAGTTGTCCATATTTAATGAATTTCGATTCGAATGATCGAGTTTAATTTATTTTCACGACATGCGAGTTTTACTAACGCAGATGGAGTCAGTCGTACGATCACGGCACGACTCATCTGTGCACCGTAGACAGTCAACGGAATGCTGTTTCGATGACCGTAAGTCTGAATCATTTCCTCGGATCACGAGTGATGTCAGCAAGTACCGGGATACTTCTAAACAGTCAAATGTACGATTTCTCGATCCCCGCGTCAAGCACGCCACCACCATCACCTGCAAATTTTATTCAACCGTTCAAGAGGCCTTTGTCGTCGATGACACCTACCATTGTCGTTAAGGTAAAGCAATTTTATTCGAAGCTCCCATATATACTTCTCCATAAATTTCATTAAATATTTGGATAAATTACAACCACCCCTGAGATATGGTCAAATTACGAAAAACCCCTCATGTTTGGATAATTACAGATACCTCCTCAACTATGAATTTTCTTACATCTCCACCCTTATGGTGTCAAATTCAACATAATCATCTAGATTTTGTCGAATGTTCTCTAGTTTGTACTCGTTTTGTGCAAAAATACAGTTTCTGATGCACCACAATCTGATGTATACAAGCCAAAAAAGACATCTTATGATTATCTTGCTTCAAAATATGGAGCTCGAATAGGATAAAACGGGTACAAATTTGAGAATATTCCATATAATCTAGAAGATTCCACTAAATTTGAAACTGCAAGGGTGGACGTGTAAGAAGATTTATAGTTGAGGGGTGGTTGTAATTACCAAAACATTATGGGTTTTTTCGTAATTTGACCATATCTCAGGTTGGTTGTAATTTACCCTAAATATTTTTAATTATATTATCTTTGTTTTGATCTTCCAAATTCTTGTTAATTTTCAGGACGGACGAATAAAGGCAGTTATAGGCGCAGCCGGAGGATTGCTAATACCCGATGCGGTGGCTCAAGTCTTAATAAATCACTTAAATTCGAAAATGAATCCACTCGTTGCTGTTACCGTTCCAAGATTATATCACACGGTGAGATCAAATATATATATATATATATATATATATATATATATATATATATATATATATATATATATATATATATATATATATATATATATATATATATGTGTATATCGCCACCATGTTTAACAAAGTTCCGTTTATGGTGCAGCTATATCCGAATGTGCTCTACCACGAGGACTACAAATCTCAAAACGGTCATCAGTTCTCATATCGTTCGAAGATGCTTAGAGAGTTGAAAAAGAAGGGCCATGTTTTGAAAAAGAATACCGCTTCGGCTATATGCTCGTTCGTCGTTCAAAATTTAGAGGGTCCGGATTCCGGTCAGCTTATTGCTGTTACTGACCAAAGAAAAGGCGGCCTTCCAGCCGGATACTAGATATTTCGTGGTTTTCTGTTAGAAATTTGTGACCCGTTTGATCGTTTCAGCGGGAAAATAATTTAAAATCAAGAGGGGCATTTTCGTAATTTAGACAGATCTCGGTCATTTTTTTTTCTTCTCTCGTTATATTTTACGGGCAGTTTTCGTTGGGATCAAATCATCATTGCCTTGACTCTGTTTTGCATTATAGTATATCTTTTGTTGGCTTCTTTTGTTTACTGCCTGACTAAGTAGCATGTAGGGATGGAAATCGGGGTGGAATGGATCAAAAATGTCTTTTTCGGAAACTTTCCAATTTTATTCGGAAGTTAAAAATAAGTTCCAATTTTCGTTATATAAAAATCGGAATTTCAAAATTCATTCCAATTTCAGAATACATCGGAATCTCGGAAATTGCATTAATTCTTAATTTTTTGTTCCAAAATCGGAAATAATGGTAATTTTTAGAATTTTGTTTCCAATATTTTGGTAATTTTCCGGCGAAATGCAAGAATCTAAAATAAAGGTCAATAAGATGAAATGTAAACACTTGTAAAAACAACATGATCAGTTTATCAAAGTAAACATTTCTTGTAAATTTTCAAAAGAAAAAGAAAAAGTAAACATAGTTATTGCAAAACACGAATAGAAAAACAATTCAAATATACAATATATATATATATATATATATATATATATATATATATATATATATATATATATATATATATATATATATCGAAAATAAAATCAGATCGATCGGAAATCGAAATTTCCAATAATTTTATATGTAATTTTAATTCCTTTCCAAAACAATCGGAAATTAGAAATCGGAATGAAGAAAAGGGTTCCAAATTCAGATGTTTTCAATTCGGAAATTGGCGGAATTCGGAAATTCCGTTCCAATTTCCACCCCTAGTAGCATGTAACAAGCAAAAAAGAATATTTATTCATTTATTGAAATTTTAATATTATTTTTTATTTACTTAATTAAATTCAAGTGCTTATGAAGCCTGCAACACAAGAACCTAACCTATGCTCAAATGGGAGTGTCTTCCACCACTTGCTAAAAGTAGACTCACCCAAGAAAACATCTTTCCCCAACCACCCTTCGTTAATCCACGTCAGCGCTCGTTCCTCTAACCTCGAAACCTTGTCCTTAACTTGAACGTAAGGCTTCAATCTCAACTCCTCAACCTCGGCCCAAAAAGTCGTCTCCGAGCTAAAACCGACCTCCATTTTCTCCGCATGCTCGCGCCACTTCTGCGTGAATTTGTACCGTTTAGGTCGAGCCTTCACCATATAAGGCCCCGTGTCCTCGTTCTTCAAGTGCCGGTAATAATTGGCAATGTCCAAAGGTTCTAGAAGCCTCCGGAACAAAGTCCCTAATTCGATCCACTCCTTTCTCCCCTCGAATCCATCGGGCAATTCGTACCGTTTGATCATCTCGACAATTTCGTCCCATATGCCTGCGAGCTCGAGGCGCTTGATATTGGCGTTGAAGTCGGATTGGTCTTTTTGTATTTTGAACGTGTCGTAGTAGCCGATTCTGCGGATTTCGCAGCTCGTTTTGTATTCTTGTATTTTAGTTATTGCTTCCTTGATGGTTTCTTTGTTGGAGTCGATTCTCTTTTGGTTTTCGAGCTTCTGCTTTTCCAACTCGCCAGCTGCTCGAAGACACAATCGTGCCGTTGTGCTCTGAGAATTGGACAAATACATCATA